GGGTTTAGGGTTTAGGGTTTAGGGTTGACGGTTCAGGGTTTAGGGTTAACGGTTGACGGTTATCGGTTTAAGGTTGAGGGTTTGGAATTGAGTGTACGTGGTTTATGATTTGGTGTTTAGGGTGTAGGGTCTTTCGGGTTTAGGTTTCACGGTCTAGGGTTTAGGGTTGTAGTGTTTATGTTGCAAAGGTTTTGGTTAAGGGTTTAGGGTTTGGGGTTTGAGGTTTGGGGTTTCAGGTTCAGGGTTTGTAGTTGAGCGATCATGGTTTATGATTTGGGGTTCAGGGTTGAGATTGGGGTTCGTGGTTTATGGTTTATGGTTTAGGGTTTAGGTGTTGAGGGCTGAGGGTTTAGGGTTTAAGGTTTACGGTTTGTTGTTAAGTGTTGAGGGTGAAGTGTTTAGGGTTTGGGGTTTAAGGTTTAGGGTCTACGGTTTAGGGTTTAGGGTCTGGGATTTAGGGTTCAGGTTGTAGGGTCTAGGGTTTCGGGCTTAGGGTTCGGGGTTCAGGGTTTTCGGTTTAGGGTTTAGGGTTTAGAGTTTGGGGTTTATGGTTCATGGTCTAGGGTTTAGGGCTGAGGTGTTGGGAGTGGTTTAGGGTTTGGGGTTTACGGTTTGTGGTTGAGTGTTGAGGTTGCAGGGTTTAGGGTTTGGGGTTTAGTGTTCACGGTGTAGAGTTTAGGGTTCAGGGTTTGGGGTCTAGGGTTCAGGTTGTAACTTGTAGGGTTTCGGACTTAGGGTTTAGGTTTTAGGGTTTTCGGTTCAGGGTTTAGGGTTAACGGTTGACGGTCAACGGTTTAAGGTTGAGGGTTTGGGAAAGGGGTTGTTGGGCCACGGTCCTGTGTCCCCCCTGGCATAACCCTTTGTCTCACTTCAAAATAGACGACGCCCAGTTGATTTGCATGCCTATGAGCCATTCTACACCAAGCCTCAAGGCCTGCATCGGGCACGTTTGGAAACGGTCAGGTGCACATTAACCATTTTTTCGTAATTTACTCTAAAAGGGGTGGTTAGACCACGGTCCTGTCCACCGGTGTATCCAGGATACACCCCAGCATAGCCCTTTGGCTCACTTCAAAATAAACGACGCCCAGTTGATTTGCATGCCTATGAGCCATTCTACACCAAGCCCCAAGGCCTGCATCGGTCGCGTTTTACTTAGGCGCACCTCCGAAC